AATCAAGGGAGAACCAAAAAAATATCAAGCCTGATCTCATCGGAATCCGTTTTTTTTTTTTTTTTTTGTTGGTTGGTTGGATTGATTTAGGAATTTTCATCCAAGTTCATTCATTCATTGGTTTTTTAAATATCATTCTCCCTATGTTTTTTTTTATTCATTAGCGTTTCTATGATGATCATCATCATACGGGTATGGTCTATGCGTCGTTCCATAGTTTTTATTCATTGAAACAGGTATGAATTTTTACCGCCATCAAATCATAATAACAATAAAATGATTCATCCATGAAATCCACATTCAGAATTACCTTATTTTCATCATCATCATCATATGCGAAACATTATTACCAATCTCTATATATGTAACACACACACACACAGTTATCCTTGTTTCAAACAGAACCATTTTGACAATTGAAATGGAAAATGAACAAGAAGGAAAATGAAATACCATTGATATATATCTGGTGAATATGAAATGAATAAATATAGACCAAAGGAGAAAGAGAAGAAAAAAAGTTGGTTATTTTTTTTTCGAAAATGATTAACATTTTCAGAATTCTTTTCTGGACATACAACATAGTTAATAATGGTTACCATTGTAACCAGAATTTTTTCTTTCCTCTTGTTACAAATATTGATATTGTTGATAAAACCAACTAACCACCGAAATAATTCATTATAGAAAAATGGCCAAAAAGAAAAGAAAAGCAGTGATTCTTGTGATAAAATAAATGACCAACCATTTTATAAATCATCAAATTTTGCGTCCATACCATATTTTTGTCTCTCTTCGTGAATGTGAATTTTACCTAATGAAAAAAAAAGTTTCAAGAGATTCAATCTATTTGACAATCCAAATTATTCTGCTTTGCATTCGTTTTGATCGATGATGAAAAACTGCAAAAAAAAATCAAAACCAAACTATTTTATCTTTGGAATTTTTCTATTTTTGGGGACAAACAAAGCGGAAAAACAAATCATATAGCCATTGTTTGAATGTGGAAAAAAAATTGTAATATCGAAATTGCTTGTAAATGTTACACACACTCAGGGAGCGAGAGATACTGACCAACGCAATCATTAGGATTAGAAAAAAAAACCAGAAAAATAATAAAAATGACCAATTTACTACAACTGGAAACAACCAACCAACCAAACAACCAACACAACGTCAATAAATGTAAATGTCATCATCATCATTATTTTAATCATTTTTTTGTTGTTAGTTTGGTTAACCAAATAGGTTAAATATAACATAGAAAATTTACCTGAATAATCCATATGGATAAAAATATTATGAATAAAATTTTCCTATTTACCAAACAAGAATATTCAAGTTTCGAACAACAAATGATGATTTAAAACAAAAACAAAAAAAAAACAAAAAAATAACTAGGTTCGAGATATTCACGTTTTAATCGATGTCTGTCTGAAGCCAGAATCAAAACAAAAAACCTGATAGTTTGTATCAGGTTTTTTCCTTGCCTTTTTTATGTATAATAATTATCTCTGTTTTATTTTGGCAATTTTACATTCTTTGATGACATTTAAAAATAAATGAAAAAATTTTTTGCTGTTGTCGTCCAGATTTTTAATTAACCCATGACATTTGTTCCAACACTGTTGTATAATATTGATTCTGTTATTTTTTGCAATTTATATTTCAAAAATCACACTCATCATTGTGTTTAATTAAAGTTGTCTATGCAAAAAAAAAACAACAACAAAGAATATGGGAAAATAATTTGAATAATAATAATTATCATTATCGGGTTGGACCAACAGAAAGAAAGAAGGAGAAAAAATCATTAAAAATTTATCAACACTTTTCATATGATGATGATCACCGTTATTATTCATTGGGTATTTCTTTTCTTCTGACACACATCATGATATAGAGAGATTTTTTGGTTTGTTTTTTTTGTTTCGGTTATTTTTAGTTTTTCGCTATTTGAAAAGAAAAAATTATTCAAATTGTTAATGATTTCAGTCGCTAGATGTCCCTATCGTTCTTATTTTTTTTCAAAAAAAAAGAATATTCGTCATTCGTAAATTTCAAATGTGATATTTACGGGTGTTTAAAAATATCCCGAAAAAAAAATTTGACGTAAATAATTAACAGTTGAAAGTATTTCACCAAAAAAAGAAAATATGAAATTGTAAAAATTATCCGCATCATCATTGAATATTTTTTTGTTTTGTTTCTCTCTTTTGATTTGGAATAATAAATTATGATCCTATTATGATGATTTCAATTTTCTATTTTAATAATTTTTCTCAAGCAATGAAAAAAACAGCAAACAAGCTAAATATAAATGTCAAACGCTGTTCATGTTGTTTTTCACGCTTGAATCTGTCAATATTGAGAATCCTCTTTAGAAACAAAACAAAAAAAAACCTTAATGAGTAGTAACCAAGAAAAACTTACTTAAATCCATCTGTAATCCAAATGATGGCTTATTATTGTACCAAAAAAAAAATTTACAATATTAATAACACATTTCTTCACATAAACAATCTCATTTCATAATCCGACAATGATTAAGCCCGGAAATAGGCTATATATTTTCGATAATCCTTGAAAAGTTCTTCATTTAGATCGATAGGAAACTAAAAAAGACGAAAAACATCCATATTTCTAAATACTTTTTTTTCTCCTACACTTTGTCCTTCTTCGTCTTAATGATGTCCACAAATATGTTTTGGATAGATTTTCTGTAAACAAGCATGTGTTTCGTAATCAACGAATACTTGTTCAAGTAGAGAAAAAAAAATCACTCGAGTTGAATCATTGATTTTTTTTCTGGTTATTATTCTGCATGAAATGATGAATTGACGTATGACTTTTATGGAGCAAAAAAAATTATTATTATTAAATTCCAAATGCCACATTTTTTTTCTCCTTTTCAACCATATCTATCCAATTAAAATATTTATCGTTGTCGGTTGTGAATTGGATTTTTTTCCATCTTTCTTCTTTCTATTATTATTTGCTTACGCCAAATTTTTTTTAAAAAATGCTTTGTTCTATTGTCGATGCAACGAAAAAAAAATCCTATTATCAAACGAATTGATGTGAATTCCTTTTCCTGATGAAAAAAAAATTTTTGAATGCCAACCGATGATCAGAAGAAGAAGAAGAAAAAGAAGAAAAATCCATAAATTTTTTAGTGGTTTATTTTGGAAATGTGATCTATTCAAATGTAAATTTTTTTCGGTTTGAAAAGAGAAGAAGAAAAAAAATTATTTATTCATCATTTAAGCGGATAATTTTCATTTACAATATAACTAAAAATTTATGATAATAATAACATTCTTTTGGAGGTTTCAAACTGACAATAAATCATTATTATTGTTGTTGGAATTTTTTCAAAATGTTTGGCAGAAAATCAACATGTTCAAATGTTTGGTGTGTGTGTTTGTGTGTTGATTAAAATTCAAATATTCTATAAAGATGATCGGGTGAATTTTGTGGTCGATATTCCGGTAATGGCCATTGCATTAATAAACTACTTGTTTGTTGACGATAATAATTATTTGAATAATTGGATTTATTTTCCAATATTTTTGAATTTATACCATTCAAATTATTTGGTATTGTTATTAATGGAAGCTCTTTGATTAAACGTTTAACCATAAGTAATTGATCATGATTTGGACCAATATGTTTACGATCACAGTATTGACATGATGAACATGTTGATGATGGTGCAAATGTTTCTAGGCACTTTGGTGTTATATCATGTATATGTAATTTTTCACATGTAGCAACACGACAATAATTTGATGGTGAACGTGCTGCTGCTGATGATGATAATGATCTTTCTGTCATACATGCTGGTGTATTTGGTTGTGATCGACTACCACCATAATTGAATAAATTTGTTGATGATAATTGTTTTAAACGATCATTTATATTTGTTGCTAATTGCCACATTGATGAACTTCGATATGTTAATGATTCTTCAACCATTGATTTTCGATGACAATTTGGACATTTTATTAATAATAATAATTGTTCACTATTATTATTACCACCATCATTATTATTATAATCATTTGACTTTTGACTATTGTTTGTTGTTATAAATATTTTCGATATATTATCAATATTTTTATCATCATCATCATTAATTACATTTTTCACTGATAATGATTTTTTTCTTTTAACCATTTTTCTATACAATGTTTTACATTTTATCCAAGGCAATCGAATTAATTTAGCTAAATATTGACCACAATAACAATTTGATGATGATTCAGATGATAATGTTGTTATTGTTTCTGATAATGATAATTCATTAATTTCTTTGATTTTAGCCATTCTTAGCATAAAAAAATCGAAATAACTTTTGTAACGAAGAAAACTTTGTTATTCATTAATTGATTTGCAAAAAATTGCTTAATTGAAAAAAAACTACAATGCCGAATGATAAGCTGATTATAATTATTTTTGGCAAATTATTCGGATTAACAAACACGCACACACACAAACACACAATGACATTTAAATTGTAAAAAATTCAATGACAAATTGATATTTTTATTATTATTTCCCCAGAAAAAATGTTAATTTATTTCATTATCGTCATTATTTCGGTATCGTCATTGTTGTTGTTGTTATGAACAACGATTATGACAATCATTTTTTTCGTGGTCAAAGAAACAAACGTAAACAAAAAAAAAATTTGATTCGACTCCACAAAAACACACCTAAGATAATACACGGAAACCGATATACACCTATACACCTGATTACCAAAATGAGGACAGGGTCGATTCGAAAATTTTTTTTGTTGTTATTTTTTGTTGTTGTTGATGATTATGATTCTTTTTACCTTGACAATGACAATGATGATAACACGAAAACACAGCACAGCACCAAGATACACAAACAAACAAGCACAGAGATTTTTTTTTTACATTTGACAATTGAGAAAAAAAAATCTACCCAGTTTGGCGAATGATTTATAATTTTCAGGGCGTATAACGTTTTTTTTGTTGTTACAAGTAAAATGCCATTCCTTTGTAATTATTTGCTTGATTCGATTGAAAAACGAAAATTTCTCTTTTTGCTTGTTACTTGAGATTCTTGATATCGGATGAATATATTCAAAGTAAACTGATGCCGGCCGATCGACAACGAAAAAGAAAAATTCAAATAATTTTTTTCTTTTTTTGGTTGTAGAAAATGAATGAATGAATATGAACGTCATGAGAATCACATTTTTGTCGATGAATCACAGGAATTTTTCATTTGCAATTCTTTTTTGTTTTCACTCTTCTTTCGGACAGCAAATACATCATCATCCTACACTTATTCATCACACTCTTTGCCTCTCTCTATCTCTCTCTCTCTCTCTCTCTCTTGTTTGATACATTTTTTGGTCGATACACCGATATCAGTTGGATCACAGAATATACATTTACAGATGAAATGTCTGATGGAATGTTGGGAAATATATTTGTTATTCCATCGAAATATTACATCGGATGATTGGTTAGAAATATTTCAGAAACAAAATAATAATTCTCTGAAAGAAGCTCTTCTTTTTTTTCTCGAAGGAATATATGTTGCATTTCGATCCGAATCGAATTCAACCGAATCCAACAACTGAAACAATGATGAATATCTTTGAATCTTTCTCATTGAAAAGCGCAAATTCTTCGATTCTTCGATTCGATTCGAGATTGCGCATCAGAATTTCCACACACACATACAGGAATTTTATAACGACGTTTTGAATCAATCGAAATCTACTATAGACAAATTCTTTTTGGTCTTTTTTAATTTTCTTTTTTTTTCAATGGTGCTTTTTTTTGTTATTATAATGACGCCATAATGTGATGTTGATGTACGTTTTTATAATTTACATAAATTGTCCATTATTGAATACAGAAAAAAACACCCTAGACCTATTCGGAATTGAATGTTTTATTAACTCTGTAAAGAATTTTCTTCTTTCTTTCAAAATTTCCATCCTTTTCTTCTGTTTGTTTGTTAAAGAATTTCAAATTCAAATTTAATGATTAAAATTTGATTACATAATGAATGAATAGATTTTTCAAAAACCCATCGCATTTTGATAAATGACAAATTTTCTTTTTTTTGGTTCAAAAGAACGTACATTTGTGGTTTGATTGGGAAATTTTTTTGAAAAAAAAACAAATTTCTCAACTCAACTCACACCCACTGTTTTAATGGAATTTTTTTTTTGTTCCAAAAAAAGAGGAAAAAGAAAAAGAAAAATATCAATAGCTATCTACGGATGACGTAAATGATGACGATTCAGGAATTTGCTGCTGTTGTTGTTGTCGATTGCTATTTATAGGGCAAAAAAAAACAAATAATGAATGAATGAAAAAAAACGCTGAACATTTTTTTATTTTTCTTCTTCACACTTCTTCTTTATGGAACATTTTTCAAACAAAACAAAAAAAACTTTTTTTTCATATATAGAATCTATGGCTCCAGGCATTTGAATTGTTGGATATCCAGACTTTTTATCTTTCGGGAATAAAAAAAAATTCTTTTTCTGAACATAACTCTGAAGGGATATTTTGTTTCAATTTTCATCCAAATATTGAACATTTTTTCGAAATTTTTGATTGAAAATTTTTTTTGTCAATTTATCAACAAACATTCATTCAGTTATCTACAATGGAATTGACATATCACATTTACAATTTTTTGAATTGAAAAAAAACACATAGATATTTAAAACGACTACTACTTTGCACATGATGGATGTGTACATGATAAAAAACAATAAAATAAAATAAAATGAAATAAAAGAATTTTATTACACAGACTGCCGTTAATGATTTCAATGTTTTTCTATGCATATAATGTGTGTGTGTATAAGATATATCCAATTAGTTTTTAGTTTTTCTGACAGGGATGGATCATTGGTTTTGTTGTTGTTGAATTGACAAATTTTGTAGCCATGTTTATGGCATGATCATCATCAAATAATAAATACCATGTATAATTACATACATACACTGTTGATGGTAAAAATCAATGATAAAATGTTGGAAATAGTTTAATGATGATGATGATGATATTTCATCAATGACGACAAAAAATTTACTGTAATTGATATTTGTATTATGTTAAACAACAACGAAAAACGCCTATTAAGATCAATATTGAAGAAAAGTTAAGAAAGTTTTTTGTTGTTGTTGTTCTCGGCTAATTTCCTTAAATCAACATTATTAACTAACAAACAAACAAACAAACGAAAGAAAAAAGAAGAAAGATATGGTCAAACCGGAAACATTTGCATGGTTCCGTTCGGAACCAATGTCACTTTGTCAACTTTATTTACAAACAGAATCTGTTTATCATATTGTTTCATTATTAGGTGATAAAGGAATTTGTCAATTTCGTGATCTAAATCAATCAAGTAATTCATTTCAAAGAAAATTTGTAGCAGAAATTCGACGATGTGCCGAAATGGAAAGAAAAATTCGTATGTAGTTTTTTTTTAAAAAATGGTTATTTTCCTTTTTTTCTTTCTTTCTTTCAATGAATAATATTTTCATTTATTTACGGTAAAAAAAAAGTTTTTTTCGAAAAAGAAATAGAACGAGATGGTGTCGATGTTGTTAAAATTAACGAAAAATTTTTGGATATACCATCGATGAAAGATTTAGGTCAACTTGAACAACAATTAGAAAAAATGGAACATGATTTATTGAATGAAAATGGAACACGTTTACAAATGAAACATCGATTACTTTCATTGACCGAATATAAAGAAATTCTAAAAAAAGCTGATCAATTTTTTAATGAAGCACAATCGGATGGACCATCATCGAATAAATCTATGATGCGTCGAATGTCGGTTGTTGATCCGGATTTAATGCGTCGATTTTCGATGCATATGCATCAACCAAATCAAATACCATTAGAACCGGTAATTGAATTGGCTACAATGACTGGTAGTATTTTAGCTAATCGTTTTATGGCATTTGAACGAATGTTATGGAGAGTTTCACGTGGTAATATTCTTCTTAAACGAATCGATGTTGAAGAAATGCTTGAAGATCCAGAAACTGGTGAATTACAACAAAAATGCTTATTCATTTTGGTCTGTCAAGGTGAAAAGTTACGTAATACTTGTCAGAAAATATGTACAGGATTTCATGCTAAATTATATTCTTGTCCAGAACAACGTGGTGAACGAAATGCTGCACATCAAAAAGTTTTAAGCGATATTTGCGATATTCAAAATGTAATTGCACGAACCGATGAACATCGTAAAAATTTATTAGTTGCCATTGCAAATAATTTACAAAAATGGAAAAGAACTATACTTAAAGTGAAAAATATTTATGAAACAATGAATATGTTTCGTAATGATGTAACTGGTCATTGTTTGATTGCTGAATGTTGGATTCCTTCATGTCAAATAAAAGAAGCACGTTTGATTCTTGGACAAGGTCAAACAATGTCCAATTCGTTGGGTCTTTCGGTTTTGGCTATTCTTACAACAAACGAAACACCACCTACTTATAATGTTACCAATAAATTTACAGCCGGTTTTCAGGTATTGGTCGATTCATATGGTTCATGTACATATGGTGATGTTAATCCAGCACCATATACAATTATTTCATTTCCATTCATATTTGCCGTTATGTTTGGTGATACTGGACATGGTATAATAATGACATTATTTGCTTTATGGATGATATACAAAGAAAAACAATTAAAATCCATACGTAATGAAATATTTTCAATGTTTTTTGCCGGTCGTTATATAATCTTATTGATGGGATTATTTTCCATTTATACTGGTGCAATGTATAATGATATATTTTCTAAATCGGCAAATTTATTTGGTACAGCATTCAATGTGAATTTAGATGTACCTGAAAATATTACAACAGAATTAGGACAACGTATTGTACATCTATCACCGGATAAACATTTGGATGAAAATTTTCGTTATTATTTTGGCATTGATCCTGTTTGGCAAATTGCTTCGAACAAAGTTCAATATACCAATACATATAAAATGAAATTATCTGTTATATTGGGTGTTTTGCAAATGTTTTTCGGTGTAATGTTATCAATGTTTAATCATTGGCATCATGGTGATTTAGTGAGCATTGCAGTAGAATTTATACCACAAATTATATTCTTGTTGGCAATATTTGGATATATGAATTTTATGATCATTTTTAAATGGTTTACCTATGATGCTGGAAGGGGTGGTTGTGCACCATCAATTCTAATTACATTGATCAATATGTTTATGTTCAAAATGCCCGAAGAAAAAGATCCTTGTTATTTGAAAGATGAAATGTTTACAAATCAATTTAAAATTCAAAGTGTTCTTATAATTTTAGCTCTTTTAACTGTTCCAATTATGTTATTTGTTAAACCATTTTATTTATTTTTCAAACATCGTAATATTCAAAAAAGGTAAGTAATTTTTAATATAAAAAGAGAAACTGATAATAATAATTATTCTAATTAATCACATCTACAGGAGTAGTGCAATTATTTATGATCAAAATTCATTTGAATTGGAAAATTCATCATCAAATCATAATTTGGAAATAGAAAATATTGGTGAAGATATTGAATCAAATTCGAATGGAAACGATATAATTGCAAACAACAACAACAACAACAACAACACCGTAAAAGAAAGCAATAATGGTCATGACAATGTACAAATGAATGAATTCGATTTTGGCGATGTGTTAATCAATCAAGCCATTCATACAATCGAATATTGTTTGGGATCAGTTTCACATACAGCATCATATCTTCGACTTTGGGCATTAAGTTTAGCTCATGCACAATTAAGTGAAGTTCTTTGGAATATGGTTATGACTGCTGGTTTTATGGAATTCAAATTTCAATATGGCTACATAGCAAGTGGTGTGATTATGTTTTCTATTTTTGCTGGATGGTCATTTGGTACTGTAGTTATTTTAATCGTAATGGAAGGATTATCTGCATTTTTACATGCATTACGTTTACATTGGGTAGAATTTATGTCGAAATTTTATCATGGAGATGGCTATCCATTCGAACCATTTGATTTTCAAGCTAAACTTGATGAACTATAAAACAGTTGAACAATGAACTTTACAAATGAATTGAAACTTTAATCAAGATTTTTTACATTAAAATAAAGAATATTAAATTGACTAATTTTTTAAATATTTTTTTTTATTTACTGTCGCAACGCTTTATCAACTTCTTTCAGACTTTTGGATTTAGATTCGACAATTTTTGTTACATCACGGCCAGAATCTTCACGACGAATAGCGTTTATTGGATGACGAATATCATCAAAATTTTCAGTGATCGGTGGTTCTATACGTTTAAGTTCACCAAAATCATTAAAATTATCTTTTGCAAAATTTCCAATCAGGCCTAATTCGGTAAAACGTTTACGTAGTTCAAACATTGCTTGTCGTTCGGGTGAATCATTTCTATTCATCATAGTGTTAAATTTTTGACCTGGTATTGATTTATTATTCAAATGACGCCAATAAGCCCAGCCAATTATTATTGCAAATACAACAAATGAAAAACCGGCCATAGCTAAACATATTTGATTATGTTCAACGAGTGCATCTATAATTAACAGAAAATGAATGAAAATTCATTTGGTTTAAACTAATGAATAATAGTAGTATAGTACCAGTTCCACGAATCATCCAAAAAAGTGGACGTCGTTTATAGATTTCGGAAAATTTTCCTTTCATTTTTGGTGGTGTTTTTCGACCAACATTTGATTCTTTTGTAAATTGTTCATAATTGAAAAAATTTCTATCAAACCGAATTGATGTATGAATTTGTACTCTATTAAATGTACTCAATAAAACGGATGATTTCAAATGAAACAATGAATTTCTGATGGCTATAATCATGATCATCAATTTGATAACAATTTCATTATTTTATTTGAAGATTAAAACTAATCAAAGTCAGCTGGGAAAAAAAATGATGATGTTTGAATCATCGAATGATAGATAGCAGCACACACATACACATAAAAACAAACGATAATCTTAATTACATATACTCAGACATTTCTTTGTTTGATGCATCAGAATGATGATTATGATTATTATTATAGCTTTAGCTTCATTTTATTGTTGAATTTTTTTGTTTGTTTGTAATTTTGTTTATTTTTTTCAATGATCAATCAATCATTGAAAAAAGTCGCATAATCAACCTATTTTATACTGAATATATATTCATTAACGAGTTGACATATTACCTTTCAATATTTGTTATTTGGTGTTTTGATTTTGATCTTTTCATCAAACTGATTATTCGTATCGATATTTTTATCTATTTCTACTTAACGATAATCAATATATTCAAAACAAAAATAAATATGATGCAACAATCATCATTACAGCGCCGTGCTACCCATGCTGGTAGTTGGTATTCATCAACTGGTAATTAATTTGTCATTGTATAATATTGTGTATAATTTATTTGAAATTTACATCTTTTAGTGATACAACTTAATGACCAGCTTGAATCATGGTTGTCTATGGTTGATGTTTCGCATGGTCCTGCCAAAGCGATCATCTCACCGTAAGTTTTTTTGTTTTGTTGGTGTTATTGATTTTCTATATATCTCAATGATTTCAGTCATGCTGGTTATCAATACTGTGGTGCCTGTGCCGCTTATGCCTACAAACAGATTGATCCACAATCAACGTAAGTAAATCATCAATTAGATTGATTTATATTTTAAATCCTGTTTGGAATATAGTGAACGAATTTTTATTCTTGGTCCTTCTCATCATATTCGTTTGAATGGATGTGCTTTATCACCGACAACTGTTTATAAAACTCCATTTTATGATTTGATTATTGATCGTGACGGTAAACATAATCATAGTTGATTATTTTGAAAATATTTTGATTTTTGTTTTTTGTTTCATCCTTACATTGATAGTCTACGATGAGCTTAATCAAACTTCATATTTTCAATCAATGTCATTGGCTGCCGATGAAGATGAACATTCAATAGAAATGCAATTACCATTTATTGCTAAAATAATGGAATCAAAAGGTCAAAATGGCTTTAAAATTGTTCCTATTTTAGTTGGTTCACTTTCGAATGAAAAAGAATATTTGTATGGACAAATTTTAAGTAAATATCTACTTGAACCAGGAAATGTATTTGTAATATCATCGGATTTTTGTCATTGGGGACAACGATTCAGTTTTCAATATTATAATAAAGGATGGGGTGAAATTTATCAATCCATACAAAAATTAGATGAAATGGTAATTTAAAATTATCATATATAGATCGTTTGTAAATAATTTTGTTTATTTGTTAAATAAATAGGGTATGAATCTAATTGAATCATTAGATCCTTCAGCATTTGCTGAATATTTACAACAATTTCGTAATACAATCTGTGGTCGACATCCGATTGCTGTTTTGTTGAATGTAAGTTTGATTGATTCAAAATCAACTATAATTTTTAATTAACGAAAAAAATTATAAATCATTTCCAGGCTATTCATCATCTTCGTAATGAAGGTAAATTAAAAAATAGTTCATCAATGCGTTTTCTTAAATATGCTCAATCAAGCCAATGTCTTCGTATGCGTGATTCATCGGTCAGTTATGCTTCTGCATCTTTTATATTATAAACTTGACGATCAAAACAAAACAAATGAAAAAAAATGAAACCAACAACAACAACACAAAACAAATGTAATAATCAACAAATTGAATTGCCTTCTTCCCATTATCAATAATTTCTTTTCCAATTAATTTCTTCCGTTCTATATTTATAATTTGATCGGATGTTTTTTTTCTTTCTTTGTTATAAATTCTGTAAATTCCTCTGAATATTTGATAAACAAACAAACAAACACACACACAGTATAAATGAATATAGCGCCAATTTTTTTTTCTTGGTCACTCTTGATTTGAATGAAAAATAATGATAATTTTTTTTTTAATTAAAAACATTTTAATAAAATCATCAAAAAAAACTAAATGTTGTATTTTTCTAAAACAAAAGTAATTGAGCTGTAATTTGTTAATGAATTTGATATTGGCACCAGTTTTTTCAATTAATTATTCTATGTTGAATTGCTTATCGAATTCGATGTTTGAGTTTGATTATGATCATTAATCAAATGTTTAAATAATCGAACCTGTTTACGAATAATATCAATATCATCGGACAATTGTTGATTAATACGATCAATATTATTAATATTATTTTCAACCGATGTTAATGATTGTAATGTTTTCCATAGTAAATTTTGTTGTTTTTGTGTTTGTTCAATTTGATACCAGACAATCAATATTATTGTAACGATTATCATCAATATGAGAAACCAAAATAATCGATATAATGGAGATTTTCTTCCAATATATTGTCTATTTTTTACTAATGATGATGATGAGGGAATAATTAGTTTATAAGATGATGATGATTTTTGTGCATCAAAGTTATAGTTAATCGTTCTTATCATTTTTTTTGTTGTTGTTGTTGAAGAGAATTATTAGAGCTGCTAAAATCAATTATTATTGAACTATAAAGATGAAAGAAATTTTATGACTTAGATAAGATGGTTATTAAAAAAATAATATGTTTATCACATTTTAAAAAACAAACATCTGACGTTCGATAAATATTGATCGTTTATTTTTTTGACACTTTGGAAAATAATAGAAAAAAAAGGCGGATTCGAATTTATTCTAAATTATGTGTTTGAGCAATCACGTGACTTATTCAATCACTGCATTATAATATTAAAAAGAACGCCTTTTATATTTTTGGGTTAAAATTAAAATGTTTTTAATTCGGATTTCGGAACAATTTTTGGTGTTTCATCAAAAATATTTGACTTTGTATTAAATAGTTTTCGATGTTTAAATGTTTTTTTATCTTCAATATTATTTTCAATTTTAGAAATAATATACTCATTTTTCGAATCAATTGTCATTGATTGTTCAGTTGATTGTTCAGTTGATTGTTCAGTTGTTTTTTCAGTTATCGAATTGATCGATTCAATTTCGCTTGATTTTGTTTTCTTGGTTTTATACACTATAGGAGTTCTGATGTTGATTATTTCCGTTCGTTTCATTTGATTGACACATATTATACCAATACAACAACATGTAGTTAACACACAATATATAATTGATAAAGTTGCAATGATAACTGCTGCAACAATAGTTCCAATCAAAAAGGTCCAAAATTTTGTACATCCATCCGATTGATATTCATATCCCGAACAATTGCCCGTATTTCCAACTAAAGCTAATGCATGAATTGGATTCAACCATTTTTCATAATAATGTTTAATCAAATTTCCATCTTCTGCACAATACTTTGGAATCTGTGCTATTAAATAGTCACGAAGTTTCCACATAAAACAACAACTGAACTCTTCATTTTGATAATCTTTTATTTGATCGTACACTATTCGAATTGTACATTGAACAGCAGTTAATTTATCATAAATATCATCTATAACTGTTTTTATCATTTTCTTTCTTAAAAAAAAAAATCAAATTTGTTTTATTCGTAAAAAAAAGAAAAAAAAATAATACAATTTTTTAAAAAGATTTAGTGGCTGCTATATTTATAATCGGATCGTTAAGCTTGATTGATTTATAATTAAATTGATATAATTGAATTGATTACAACAATACAAATGGAATTTTTTGTTTTTTCTTTTTTTGAATTCAAAAAATTCCAAAAAATAAATTCCGAATTATCGCCAACATTGCTGCCATCTACAGTGAATTAAAAAGATAAATAACTTTTTTTTTTTTTTAAATCAAATTTTATTAAACTTTTTTATTGAAATAAAATTTTTTGTGTGTTGAAAAATAACGTGTGTTTGACTTATTTAATCATCGTATTTAAGCATTGTATATTTAGTAAGGGGGGGACGACGACCATCGTTTTTATTTGTGATACATGTTTTTAATTCGGATTTCGGAACAATTTTTGGTGTTTCATCTAAGGAATAAGAAACTGAATCCGTAGAAAATAGTTTTCGATCTTTAAATATTTTTTGACTTTTAATTTTCTTTTTAATTGAATTAATAGTATTCTTTAGTTGTTTGATTATTTTAGTATCCATCCTCAATGGTTGTGTTTTGGTTTTTGTTTTCTCAGTTATCGAATTGATCGACTTATCAGTTGATTCAGTTTGTTTAGTTTTTTTAGTTTTATACAATACAGAAGCTCCAATGTTGATTACTTCCGTTTTTCTACATCGATTACAACAAAGCATACCAATACAACAACATGTGGTTACTACACAATATAAAATTGCTAAAGTTACAATGATAATCGCTGAAACAATAGCCGTAACTAAAAGTGCCCAAAATTTTGTACATCCTTCCGATTCATCTTCATATCCAGTACAATTGAAATCATTTCCAAGTATATTTAATGCTTTAAATGGATCCAACAAATCTTCATAGAAAGGTTTAACAACATCACGATCTTTTTGACAATAGATTGGAATCTGTGCTATCATATATGAACGTAATTTCCACATTGAACAACAAGCAATCTGATTATTTTGAAAATGTTTTATTTTATTGTACAATATTCTCAATGAACATTGAGCAACAGTTACTTGATTAATAAGATCTTCCACTTGTGACATTTTTTTTTGTTTTGTTTGTTTGTTTGTTCGTAATTTACAAGAAAAAAATAATACAATTTTTTCTAAATATACTGACCACTATATTTATAATCGTTCCATGATTGATTTATAATTAAATTGTTGTTACAAAACAATACAAATGGAATTTTTTTATTTCATTTTTTTGAATTCGAAAAATTCAAAAAACTCAGAATTATCACTAACATTGCTGCCATCTAGTAATTTTTTTAAAAAATAACTAATATATTAGTGGCAAGTGCATTTGACGGTAAAGAAAAAATTTTGTCATCATATATAACAACAAGAATGATACCAACTCACATCACATTATTATTATTATTTCAACAATCCTTGATGCATGACGGTGTGGATGTCATGGTAGCACTGTTTTACTATACTATATACAACCATCAAAATGAATTTTAATTGAAAATAAAAATCACGATGATGATGATAATAGACGACAATGATTGTTTTGTTTTTTTCTGATCTTTCTATTCGTTGTAACAATGCAAGATGTTTTGATGTTAAAACATCTTACATATACACTTGATTAATGTTTTGTTGTTGTTGTTGTTTGTATTGAATCTTGAAATAATGTGACCTAGAATACCAAAAAAAATAATGTAACAAATTAACCAAAGGTATGTGATATTGAAAAAAAACCCTTACCTGTGTATTTAATTAGATAAAATTATTCTTCCATTCTCTTTCATCAGATTATCTTTTTTTTCAACAAAAAAAAACAAAGCCAAAAACGAAAATTCTCGAAGCTCAAAAAAATTGATTATGATTGTACATTTCGATTACATCTCGGTTTTATTTTTCCTTTATTATTGTCGATAAACTTGGCGACAAAATATTTAATCCATACAGCATTTTAATTAAATTCATCATTGAACTTTAGCATTTATTCTTTCAATTGGGTATAATTGTTTCACATTTCATATCTTATCACCACCGAAAAAAAATCTTTAGTCTTTCTGCATATAAAAAAATACATCCTTACACATATAAATCGATTACAATTTACATTTCTTCAACGAAATTAAACTTTGTTTTTGATTTGTATTTCGGTTTTTTTCAATTATCAAATCGGGTGCATCATTTTCCATATCAAAACAAAAAAAAACTCTGTATGGGATCATTAATCTTTAGACAAATCGAACGATTTGATGATGGGTAAGTAACCCATGTTTATTTTGTTTCCGTGGAATCAATTTATTGTTTGATTTTTCTTTTTCTTGAAAAAATATTTTAGCATTTTATAAATCATCTAACACCAAATAAACAAACAATAAGCATCAATGAAAACAAATTTCCTATATTCTTTGTTTCTGGTAAGTAAAAAAATATCTTTTCTCATGTCAATCACGATTAGATACAATCAATATTGGTATGGATGAAAACAACACATGATTTTTACAAAAATTTTGAAGTGTGTTAAAATTAATCTATAGATTTTTTGTTTTTTGATGATGTTTGTATATTTTTCTTATAAAACACAGAGAGCAGCATTCTATTATTGAAAAAAATGTTGATAGAACTGGACTCTCTCTATTACATTTTAAAAAACATCATTTTATTTGGTCGACGTGATGTACAATGTTTGATTGATTATCATTTTTGATGAAATCGATATTGATAATATTGATGATTTGATTTGATTTGATGTCGTAGTTTAGTTTAGAACATTACATCTTCTTAATATATATATATAGAGTCAGCAGTCAGCAAATAAAAATGTTTTCTTTTGTATATTATTTAGGGAAATGGTTTTTTTCTGTTTTTTTCTGATGTGTCAATGAATTCCATTATAAATTTTATCTTGTTTTTTTCTTTCGTTATTGATCGTGCAAGTTTCGTGTTGATTTTGACCATAAATTTTTTTTTCTGATTTTTTTTTGACAGTTTTTATTATAAATTTTTTTTTTTTTAAATGGCCATATTGTTTTTGAACTGTGAAATCAAACAATCTGACAATGAGCATAACTACACAAGATCTAAATTATCATCGAATGATGAATTTGACAACAGCAACAACGACAACAACAGCAGCAGCAGCTACAGCATTGGCTTCATCTACATCGAATGCTATAACTTCTCCAAATCAGCTACAATCAACCACCGTCATTTCTACCGTTAAAATTGACAATGACCAAAAACAAATTCAAGATCGTGATAATTACCTTGAAAATAATAATGATAATATTGATGATAATGATTGTCGACCTTCATCAACATCACAGATTATGACTGTTTTAACACCGGATTTACTACCGTCTTTTTCTACACAATCTTTTGTAAATCAACCACAGCTAAAACAAGCACCCAAAACAACATTAACAAATACAAAACAGATAAAACAGCCAAATGGTTCGATTGTTGTTGTAGATAATGTTAGTCAGCAACGAAAATCATCAATTGGGGGCATTAATCCGATTGTAACAACAGTTTCATCGATTAATAATGCTCCAAACACATATTTATATGATAGATCAAATTTCAATCATTTTCAAATCAATCATTCATCATCATCATCATCAACTGAAATAGGTCAATTTAAAAATGATGATGATAAACGCCAACGACATAAATCATTGTCTAGTTTAGAAAATTGCAAAAATCAATCAAAATTCTCTTCGATCAATTCAAGAATCGATCATTCGCAATCAAATGAACAATCTCAAGTTTTAATTACCAATAAGAAACCAGTGATAATCAGTGGCAACAAAGCAATCAATGAAAAAAGTAATAAACTTCATTTGATTTTAATTTTTTAATAATTTTTTATTCTTGCATCAAAATAGACCCATCAAATCGATTGACAATGTCGCAAAAGAAAGCATCATCATCATCATTATCATCGGCTGCTAGTTCATCTGCGGTCACATCTACATCATCTGCAATTGGTGATGGTCCGAACAGTAGTTCAATGGATGATGATCAAAATCAATCGGAAAAACCATTGAATCGTCGTCAATGGTATCATCTATGGCTTCCATCATATAAATCACGATTAAATCAATTTCAACGACAATTTAGTGATAAGATTGATTCAAGAGAAAAATTAATCGGAGATTTTGTATGTGCTATACAAAGAGAATTATTACTTCAAGGTCGAATGTACGTTTCATTGAATTATATTTCCTTTTATTCGAATATATTTGGCTATGAAACAATCGTGAATATTAGCTATCAAGATATTGAATCAATATCGAAAGCCAGTACGGTTAAATTATTTCCAAATGCTATACAAATAATTACAAATAGTGGTCTGAAATATTTTTTCACATCATTCGTTTCACGTGAACGTGCTTATCAATTAGTGACAAAACTTTGGCAATTAGCACGTCGAGATCAACCAATGCCATGGCCAGAAATACGTAAATTGATTCGTGAAGCTTATACTACTAATAATTTGGGTGTTGATCTTAGTGATCTAGATGATGCAGATGTTGAGATTGATGTACTTTCTAAGGTAAGTCTGTTTGTTTTTTTTCAAATTCTTAATTCTTGATGAATATTAATTCTCAATTTTCAATAGAATTCGAAAAAGAAGAAACATTCTAAACGAAAACGTAAAGATGCAAATCATCATCACCATCACCACCATCATCATCATCATTCGAAATCGTTGCAGAATTCAAATTCTAGTTCAGATGGATTGACTACACAAGCGGATGATGTAGAATCTCCTGTTCTGATGAATCGTCGAATTATATCTGGATCAAAAGAATCTATAACATCATCAGCTATACCAAAAACTAATAATGCTGATGTACAAACAGATGATTATGATCTACAGCTACCACATTATATTCATAATCATCATCATTATCATCATAATCATTTGGATCATCAATGTTCATTGATGGAAGTGTTTCGACAATCGGTTAAAAATTTGAATTTGAAATTACGTAAAATTTCACCAACACAATCACAAGTGATACGATTTTTATTTATGGTAGCATTGATATTGTTTACCATACAGATTGTAATCTATTTTCGATTTCAAACATTAAATCAACGATTATTACAAACACAACAAATATTAATTGAAGCAATGGAAAAACAACGTCAAATCAAAACAATGGATGGTAATGAAAGCATGATAGATAATCATAAAATTATCGACCCATCGGCTATTGTTACCACTACCGGTGTATCGTCATCATATTGTCATTTAAAATCACATTGTTGAAATGGGGACCACGCCACCAATTATAGAATTCTCGATTATTAATTTTCACCAAAAAAAAAAAAGGAAAAAAATCCAATGAATTTTTATCCATGTCTTTCATTTATAATTCTTGATTATTGTATTATATTCATATTTTCTTATCATCATTTTTATTTTTTTTTTTTTTTTTTTTTTTTTTAAAAAA